GGAGCGCACGGTGCTCTTCCACCACACAGACGCGTGTTGAAACCATCGAATCGACACTCCGGTCATGAGAGGGAGGGTAGTGGAGTCATAGTTGCGTGTCCACATTCTGCTTTTTTCAGAATTGTTTTTCGGGGTATTTTTTAACCGGGGTGCATGGCCGGGAAATGGTACTGCGAGACCGGCACGTGGGCGAATCCAGACATCTAAAGCTCTACATGATCCTTATACACCCCGTCAATTGCCGAATACTCCACGGGGTCGTCAAGAAAAAAAAATGAAGAGGCAGAACGAGGAAAACTGCATGAACGGAGGATTAACCGGCAACTTTGGTGGTCTGTTGGTAGTAGACCAGCGTGAGTCGTCGGCCAAGCAGAGGTCTTTTACTTTTTCCCGGAAAATTTCAGCGGAGTTGTGCGTGCATGCGTCGTGACCGCCTTGTTAAAAAACAATTAAAGGATTTTGTCAATTTTGGAAGCCAGGACGCTGTTTGAGGTGCCTGCTGCAACGATCGGAAGTTTTGGAAATGGCAGTACCTGCGGCACATGACAAAAACACAGATTTCTGCATAAAATTTTAGTGTTTTCTCTGAAACTAAAAGCTTGTTTTGCTCCAGTGGTATTCAGACGCGTGACGAAACCATTGAATCGGCACTCCGACCATGAATAACTTGCGTCGGAGTCATGTTGCTGCATGGCGCACTTGTACTTTCCTCGGAAAAAAAAAGTGGCTTCTTTTTTTACCGGGCCACACGACTTTGAAACGGCACTGACGGGCCCATATGAGGGCGAACTCGTCAAACTAAATTTCTCATGCTGCTCTGTTGCTTTAGGCACGCTTGTATGCAACATTTTGGCATCCTGGGTGCGTTCCGTAAAATTGTGCGTGTTTTGGGTGGAGGAAGGCTTGTGGTTGCCGTGGTTTTGCGCCTGCTCGGCCGCCGCAGCAGGTCCAAATGGTGTCGCAACCCAAGTATTTGATGTTTTGGTGTCGAAATTACGCATCAGCGTGCGTATTTGATGCATACCCGACTATAAAAAAAAACATTAACGAATTAGGTTGAGGTTTGAGCCCAGGAGTCTGTTTTGAGTGATATCGACTTGAACCGGGTTCGGTTCGGCTAAAACAGCCCCGACGGCGGCACATGCGACCATCACGGTTTCTATCCTTTTTTTGTATTTTTTTTCGGGAACGGAAGGTTGATCATGCTCCACTAGCACCTAGACACGCGGGGAAATAATTGTTGGAGAGTTTCCGGCCCCTGGGAGCGCGTGTGTGCTCTATTGTATGCGGCAGACGGCAGATGTTCAACATGTACGAAAAACTGTAGAGAAAAGGACGATGGGGGTTGTTTTTCGGCAGCACATTGGACGCTTGCGAGGCGAAATAGCCGAACCCGGTTCAAGTCAATATCACTCAAAACAGGCTCCTGGGCTCAAACCTCAACCTAATTCGTTAGTTTTTTTTTGATAGTCGGGTATGCATCAGATACGCACGCTGATGCGTCATTTCNGTACAAAAAAAGGATAGAAACCGTGATTGTCGCATGTACCGCCGTCGGGGCTGTGTTAGCCGAACCCGGTTCAAGTCAATATCACTCAAAACAGGCTCCTGGGCTCAAACCTCAACCTAATTCGTTAGTTTTTTTTTGATAGTCGGGTATGCATCAGATACGCACGCTGATGCGTGATTTCGACACCAAAACAAGCATAACTCGGTTTTGGACATCGGTTGGACCTGCTGCGGCGGCCGGGCGGGCGAAAAATACACGGCGACAACCTGACCTCCTAAACGAACATGAATAACTTCGACAGAACGCACAACTAAATCGGAACGGTCGTGTAAGCACGTGTTGAAGACATCACTGCAGCACACAAATGTTTAGTTTGGCAAATTCCTCCACGTAGCGGCCCGTCAGTTCGGTTTGGACGTCGTGCAGCCCGGGAAAAAAATGTCGAAAAGATTTTTTCGTGAAAGGTCAGGTCGTGCGCATGCAGCATATGGCTCCGCGCTTCCCCCCTTGTATTCGGAGTGCCGATTGAATGGTTTCGCCACGCGTCTGTGTACCGCTGAAGCAAAACAAGCTTGTAGTTTCCGAGAAAACACCAATATTTGATGCAGAAAAATGTATTTTTGTGTTGTGCCGCTGGCACCGCCAAACCCAACATTTCTGGGCGTTTCAGCAGGGACGTGAAACCGCGTCCTGGCTTCAGAAATTAACAAAATCCTAATTTTGTTTTTGAGCAAGCCGGTTACAGTGGATACACGCATGACTATGCCAAAATTTTCAGGAAAAAAAAAAAGAACTCTGTTTGGGCCAAGATTCACGCCTGTGTCCGCCCAATGTTGTTCCCGATTAACCCTCCGCTTCTGCAGTTTTCCCAGTCTCTGCTTCTGTTCGTTTTTCTCTTGACAACCCCGGAGGGTACGTTTACACTGTTTGCAATTGACGTACGTGTGTAGGGATCATTTAGAGCTTTAGATTTCTGCAAACGCCCACGTGCCGGCCTCACAGTGCCATTTTCAAGTCGTGCATCCCGGTTAAAAAAATGTCCGCAGAAAAAGCATTTGAAAAATCAGGAAGAAGAGCACATGCACCATACGGCTCCACTACCCTCCTTCTCATGATCGGAGCGTCGATTTGATGGTTTACTCACGCGCCTGTGCATCACTTGGAGCAAAACAAGCCCTTAGTTTACGAGAAGACTCGGAAACCTGCTGCAAAAGGTTGTATTGTTGTGTTGTGCCACCGGGACCGCCAAGTGCAAGATTTCCGGCCGTTGCAGCAGGCACGTCCACCCGCGTCTTGGATAAAAAAAATGCCAAAAACACATGCTCCGAAGTACTTGTTCTTTCGCAAGCCGGCAACAGTGCATGCACGCACGACTTTGCTAAAACTATGGGGAAAAAACAAAATCCCCGGTTAGCCCAAGATTAGCACGTGTCCCTGCGTCAAGGTGCGGTTAGGCCTCCGTTGCTGCCATTTTCCCCACGCCACTCGTTTTTCTTTTTTTCTCGCAATGAACACGAAGACTATCTCTGCTGTTCGGTAAACGACGTTCCCACGTGTTTAAAGGAGCATTAANTTGCTAAAACTATGGGGAAAAAACAAAATCCCCGGTTAGCCCAAGATTAGCACGTGTCCCTGCGTCAAGGTGCGGTTAGGCCTCCGTTGCTGCCATTTTCCCCACGCCACTCGTTTTTCTTTTTTTCTCGCAATGAACACGAAGACTATCTCTGCTGTTCGGTAAACGACGTTCCCACGTGTTTAAAGGAGCATTAAGAGCTTTACATTTCGGAAAACGTCCACATGTGCCCCGGTCCAACAAAAGCCCGGAAGATATTTGCTGTAAAAGAAGCACCTGGCATGCTGCGTACGACCCCACGCTGAAGGTCAGAGTGCCGGTGTGGCGTTTTATCACGCATCAATATGCTAGGTGGAAAAAAAGCTTTCCATTCGCGAGAAACGACAAACTACAGAGCAGAGAGTGGTTTTCCGTGGTGTGCCAGGGGGCGCCAAGACCGATATTGCCCTCCCACCGAAACCCGCCTCCTGTCATCACAACCGGTCCAAAACCGATTTGCTTTGGTTTTTAAACCCTGGTTTCAGCTCATGAAATCGATGTGCCTGCTATTTAACCCTGGCACCAGGTGATAAGCGTAGAGCAGCTCGACCGCGTTGTTTCTGTCGGGGGTGACAGTCTAGGGACACGACACTCTGGAGTCCAGATTTGGTGATTTGGTCTCACGCATACGGACCACAGCAAATAAGGTGTTGCTCGCTATTCGTGCCCCATATCCTCGTAATATTAAAGTAATACATCAAGGGGTTAGGTCGTGGTCATTTGGTCGGGACCACGAACCCCGTTTACACCTGTACCTGGACGCCGCGGAAAAACAAATGTCTGAAGACGCTCCGATCGTTGGGACGGGAGTGTTTTTATTCGCGATGTGTTGACTTCGTCGTTTCCCATGTTTTATTTAATCTTCGTGTCACACACCGAGCTGGGTGAACGAACTGCACCCGTGCGATGCATTTATGTGCGATGAACGTTACCTCACATTACGACGTGTGATTTTGAGATGCAAATGTGTTGAGTGCTCCTGTACTGTAGTAATGCAAATGTCGTTTACATCGGCGTTGACTAGGGCCCGCCCGACCACCTAAGCCAAGCAAGAGTCAGGACGCGTTTCGACCGACCCGGTGCCTCTCTTTGTTGTAANAATCATCCTGACATGATTGTGTAATCATCCTGACATGATTATCGAGAGTTGTGGTACGTGTTTCTCGTCATCTTCAATTGATTCCAGGCTGCAGTTAAATTGAAACGTGATCGCCTGATTTTACAAGCGGTTGTCCTGTGACTTTTATCATTCCCGGGCTCGATGTACGATCTCTGTTTACAGTGTTGGCTGTGCGGTCCGGGGCATGCTTTGGAGCGGCGAATGCGCGTGCCAAGGCTCTTCAAATCCAGCTGGGTTTCATGAATCCCCAGAAGAGCGCAAACAATGGGTTCGCGGAAGAGTTTGGCCTCTCGTTCAACGTAACACCTCCCGCTGAGGAACCCGGTGCGACGAAGCGTCGAAGACACCCATGGGGGAGTGATGCAGGGCCATACTATGCGCCAGACACCCTTCACGACTGCAACCACGGTATAGATTGCCGCCAGTCGTACGGTTGGATTGACTCCTGTAAACAGTTGTCGGGAGTCTGTCTAACGGTACACGAGCACAACCACGCGGAAAAGAAAAAATTTCTGCACATGCTGAATGCCATGAAATTCGATCGCTTCGCGTTCATGGTTGTTCTCATCAATGAAACCGAGAACGAGGCGATCAATCGCAAAACCGTGGCGGGTTTGGTCCAGCGCGTTCTGGGTCACAGCAGCGACCGGCTGAAAGTGTGCATGGTAGAAGTTTGGTTTTGCGGCCGGTGCTTCTGCAAGAACCCTTTGATGCGATCTTTCGATCAAGTCGGCCGCGTGATTTTGACGTTCTTGAGGTAGATATAGCCTTTTTGAAATGGCTCTTTTTGTAAGGCGAGTACGCCGTTGGGGTTGCCGTTGGGGCCGTGGACTCTTCCACCGTGCTGGCTACAAAACGCACCGTGGTTGCAATTTTTTTTTCGGGTCTACTGTGTTGTGTTGTGGTTGATCGCGAATCGGTGGCAGGCGACTCACGCTCACGGATTTCTAGGCTAGGGTACATGGTGATGCGAATCCTTTTTAGACTCCAGTTTTATTTGGTTTCCTCAGGTATCCGTGAGGAAAAGCTACAGAGTTGACGAGTGGGTCGTCCGTATCTCTCATGTACTATGTACACGGCGCTTGTTTCGTGGCGAAGTTTCCTTGCTTATCTTAATCTTGCTCTGTCTGACATGATGCTCTTGCTCCAGCGTGCTGCTTCCATCAACCCCTACTGTTCCCTACAGTAGTGTTCCCGCGGTAGAGTGGGGTGATGGGATTGTCGAACAGTCAACGTTTGATTCCTGTGCAGCAAGCCTCGATCGCCCTGCTCTGGTTCCGGCGCTGCGTCGAAAGATTGTATGTACTGTTTAAGTCATGAAGATCCCTCAGTCCAATATCTGCAGCAGGAAAGGGTGACTGGCGTGTGTCCTGTTCTTTGAGGGGTACATCGTTCCTTACCCTGCCCTCCACAGAGGGCAACGGGTCGAAACTTCTGTTTCATCTCTGCCTTGCTCTCTCTCTCTCTCTCCCTCTCTCTCTCTCTCTCTCAGCTTCCATCACCCCCAATTTGTGTCTCAGACCCCACACAGCCATGGGCAGTAAGCGACTTGACCCTACAGCACCCTACAACACTACTTTATAAGATACCTGACCGTGATAAAAAGCATGCACCGCCAGCACGCACCGCCGCTGGTATCAACATAGCTACAACATAGCTAAGCGTAGTGGTACCTCCTGCCGAACCACACGTGGAAGAAAGTTCGCCTCTGTCAGCGTAGTCCGATATCGGATTCAGGACAAANTTAAGATACCTGACCGTGATAAAAAGCATGCACCGCCAGCACGCACCGCCGCTGGTATCAACATAGCTACAACATAGCTAAGCGTAGTGGTACCTCCTGCCGAACCACACGTGGAAGAAAGTTCGCCTCTGTCAGCGTAGTCCGATATCGGATTCAGGACAAAGCAGCAAACAATATTCGATGTTTTAACACTATCGCTGTACAGGGAGCGTACAGCAGCAGACGGTCAAGGCTCCTCGTGGCTACGCTTGCTTGCTATGTGCATGTTTTTTTTAATGTGCAGGTTTGAATCTCTAAAATAATCTACTGTAGACTAGAGATAACCTCACGGAGATCTGCCACGCATCAACCAACAACTACCAACATCCACATTTTGGTAGCGGGGCCAGCTCAGCGGGGCAGCGGCTCAGATTGTTGCATTGTTGCACCCTCGGTGTTAATCGCTATGTACAGCGGTAGTTCTCGCTAGGTTCGCTGTTGGACCTGACCTAGCTTGACGGCCGGAAGTTTGAATGTTGGTCCATATTTATTTTTTTATCGCTGGAAGCAGCCAGGACTCGCGCCAGGCGAAGACATTGATGGCAAATTGATGACAATAGGTTACGTGCCGCTNTATTCGATGTTTTAACACTATCGCTGTACAGGGAGCGTACAGCAGCAGACGGTCAAGGCTCCTCGTGGCTACGCTTGCTTGCTATGTGCATGTTTTTTTTAATGTGCAGGTTTGAATCTCTAAAATAATCTACTGTAGACTAGAGATAACCTCACGGAGATCTGCCACGCATCAACCAACAACTACCAACATCCACATTTTGGTAGCGGGGCCAGCTCAGCGGGGCAGCGGCTCAGATTGTTGCATTGTTGCACCCTCGGTGTTAATCGCTATGTACAGCGGTAGTTCTCGCTAGGTTCGCTGTTGGACCTGACCTAGCTTGACGGCCGGAAGTTTGAATGTTGGTCCATATTTATTTTTTTATCGCTGGAAGCAGCCAGGACTCGCGCCAGGCGAAGACATTGATGGCAAATTGATGACAATAGGTTACGTGCCGCTAGGAGGGGAGGAGGGTAAGGAGGCCTCGCTGTGGAACTTCATCTCTTCTCGCCCTCTCGAGTGCAGCCACAACAGACAGACCAGAACAACGCGCGCGCTCCGCCCAGCAGCACCCCAGCTGAGCAGCACAGAAGCAGAACCAGAATAATAACCCTCCGGAACCAAACACCCCCGTGAAGATCCCTTCGAAAAATTGGTGATACGACCTGCCTCTGCTCGTGGGAGGTGTCATTGTGCGTGTGTGGTGCGAGAGACAGGCGGGACTGTGAAAAGNTTGGTGATCGACCTCAGTGCCGTAGTATAACACCACACCACCAGGCAGGCGATCCGCCACCAGCCCCCTCGACCTGTCGGTTCGAAACATCTGATGTATCGGTTTGGTTCATCGCAGGTTCGAAAAACCTTAGGGTAAACTTACTGGATCCTCGTCCAGTAGGGGTAAATGTGGTGGTATCCTTTCGAAAAAAAAAAAAACACTAATACTCACTATTCCATCGGTTTGGAAAACGAACCAACACTTTTCGATACTCGGACACTTCCGTTCTTGACGCACGCAGACCAAAAATGGCACTCCTGCTACTGCCGTGAGACGCCTTCATAGTGTAGCCATTGGGCGCTCAGGATTTCAGTCTTATAATTTGAGTCTTAGCGCCTCAGCACACATCTTGACCTTGAACCTTGTGTGTTGATGGGGCGGCGGATCTGGTGTCGTTTCGGGATTGCCTAGTCGTACACCGTCTTACAGCAGTACTATGCAAATATTGTACACTGCTGTACACATCCGTACCCGTGTGTACCCAGCAAACAACCTTACATCGTACGGATGGAATCCGCGGAACAGGTCTTTCGACATTTTCGGCCTGCTGAATCTCTCTAATTAAAGGAGAATGCAGTGATGATGAACTATTATACTTGTATTTTCTCAACTACAGCAGCAGCCGCAGTCAGTCTCTGTTCGTCGAAGACGCTAGGAGCAAAATCGACCGAAAATCCAACGTCAAGGAGATATTAATACAACAGTTGGTGTCGCAGCTTGCTTCGGACAACCGTGCTGATCCTCTAAGAGATTATTGGTTCTCTTTTGTGCTGTAGAGAGCAGTGAAGAGATGAAGATTCGCCCACAGACTACTACTGACATAGTCTACATAGTCTAGACTAGTCTACATAGTGTGATAAATAGGTCTTGTTGCATCCTTACGACGACGGTTGGTTCAAGGCAAGAAGAAGCGGTACAGCACGAGCCCGTAATTAATAGATATTCCGTTAACCCTTATGAGTCTACAGGCGTCCTGACAGATCATTGATTGAACATTTGCAAATGCTGGTGTTGTGGCCATAGAGTTGCCGCCCTGTATCCCTCTATGCCAGGTGTTGGGGAAGTCAATAGGTAGGTGTGTCTTTATTTTTCACGTCGACCGCACTACCCGGTGACCAATGAAAAGATCTTGTTACAGAAGTGGTGCCAGCGGGAAATATCAAGGTCCCTGGAACGAACGGTCAAAATTCAAGAAATAAATGCACATTGCTCTAAATGTGAGTGCCCCTTATTCTTCCTCAGAGACACACATGAATAGCTCCACATACATGCCCTCGCCCGAATCTAGGAGGCCACTACAGGAAGACAGTAGGACAGCGAAAAGGGGCACTTCAAGCCCAACCAGGCCAGAATATCGCGGTATGCTGCATAACCTCCAAATTTAAAAATCGTACACTCCCAAGATCCAGCAGTCATCATGTCAGCAGCTATACTTAACAGCAGCAGCACTATAGACGAGTCCAATATACACCAGTACTGTAGTATCACATACACTGTCATCATAGTCCCACACATACCCTCGCCCGAACCTAGAGAGCCACTGATGCAAAGGTAGGTGTGTGCTGGTGTGCTTGCTGCGTGCTTGTGGGAATTGTGGGAAAATCACAGGAGCTGTAGTGAACCGGCAGGGCTCACATGGGGAAGGGGACAGAGAAGTACAGAAGTATAAGAACCAGCTAGACTATGCGTACACAAGCCCTCTCACTGACCATTTGTATATACTGAAAATAGAAGAGTTTAGGCGGCTTGACGACTATCTCTTCGAGGTCTACAAGCCTAACCTGCCATACCGGCCGCACAGCGACCACACATCAACCCTTCTGTGACCCTGTCTGTGACGTCCTGTCGCGGGCATCCCTCATAGCCCATGGGTGGAGATAGCTGTTGCGTCTACGGAAGTACACTCGTCTCTTGTACTTCCGTCTCTCTCCCCGCACTCTCTCCTCGTTTTCTTTATTTTGCCGCAAAAACATAACAGAGCTAGACCCAAAGGGGTTAAGAAAATTAGGCTCATTTTGTTTTTGAAAAATACGAAAAAGGACTAAGCAACCCAGCTCAATCTCGGCCACAACAACACAAGACACGTCCCAATAAGAAGCATGATCGATCGTGCGATACCTCCAATACATAATAAGAAACAAGGGTTGCACGGATATCAATACAACAAAAACGAAGGAGTGATGCATCTGTCGCACTCACCCACTCAACTACAGCACAGCTATCTTATTTGGTTCCCGATTGCTAGCAGTTTGCGGCAGCAGTAATACTGCTGCTGTCGCTGTCAGGTTTACCAACCCTGTGCGGTATTCTTCCTCTTGTTTTCTCTTCTGCCTCAAGTATAATGTTTCCTCCGATCCGGGGACATGATCAACTGAAAAAGGCTCTTCACAGCGCACCAATTTATTTAGAAGACCGGTCATGCGCCAAGTGCCAGCCGCACAGAATCTTGCCGAGATCATTTGTCATCGGCTTGGTATCGCTCTCTGATCATCATCATGTGGAAACAGGTATAGTCTAGTGGCGTGACGGTTTTGGCGCAGCTGGCAATGTCATGCCGCAAAGAAGCTTGCAGTATCTACCCTGTACACTTCCCACGAGTCCTGGTATTCTTACTTCGCCGAAACCACGACTCGTTCCAAGATACTTCCGCACGGTACCGTGGTGACAACACATCGATCGCCACTGATGAGTGTACACATCCAAGCGTGTCGTGATGCGCACAACTTTATATCTCCGGATCTCAAAGCGTTGAGAATACGTTGTATCGAATACTACCCTCGACAACGTTACGCACTTTGCTCGTGTTCTCCTATGCCAAAGCACGAAGCATCCACTGCTTTTCGCCACCTCAGTACCAGACTTCTTTTCAAGGAAGAGGCTGGTCGTCGAGAGGCCTCAGCGGTGGTATCGTCGGTGGGCACGCTGCTATTAGTTCGACCGACGCCCTTGATGTAACCACTATTCCTCAGACCAAACGACGCCGGAGCTTCCCAAGATAATTGTTTCGACAGCGCCTTCGCTTTTTGTTCCATGGAGCTTGGGCATCCCAGAGCCCTCGCGAGGTTCGGAGACACGTTGGTGTTCCACTCACGCACGTACGAATCGTAGTCGTCTTTTGACATAACTGGGCATGGAACGGATGGGGGGAGAGAACAACACTCACTCGTTAGTATTCACAGTGTTCGTTATAATAAGGTGGGAGGTCTTGACATGTCCCGACTTTGTGTTGTTTTTTTATGCATATACATAGACATGAATAGTGCGCAGAGTCCTCGGGGACAGGGGACACGGGCAGGCAACACAACCTGTCCGATTAGATAGGAGAAATGTACCGTCAAAGTTTTGCGCAGAGGCCCATGATGAACCATAATGCGGCAAGAGGTCACCGATTCAGACTCTCGTTCAACACATGCATGTGCAGCTTGACTTCCAGTCAGATCCGCATATCATGTATCATTGGTTCAACCAACGGCAAATTGTACGGAGACAAACGAAAAATAATATCTTCATTGAGACATCCGGCCGTACTTCCCATCAAACCCTCCCCTATCCACGTGGCAGCAAATCATTTGCCCGAGGAGTATGTAGTCGTTTCGACCTTACACAACAACACGACTGTTACAAATGGCACAGACTCGCACGGCGAATCGCTTCGAAGGCCATACCTTGGTAGTCCCACCCCTCCCCTTCCGGCGAGTCATCGTCCACATCCCCGTCTTCCCCTTCCTCTTCCTCCTGCCGCCCTCTGTTCCTGCACTCCACTTCAAGCATCTTGCCGTGGCCAACAACAAGCGGCCTTAGCACCTTGACGCGCGTGCTGTTATTGAGGCCGGCGAACGATGGGGGTTGCCATTCGTTCTTGTTGTCGCCCTGTTCTTCGTTCGGGGGGTCTATTCCTGATGGCCTGCGTAGGCCCAGAACCGCCTGAAGATTGGGCGACATAGCTGACATAATCTCATACTCCTGTTTTGCGGGGCGCGTGCGCGAGCAGGGGTGGGGTCCATTGGGAAAACGGTCAAGTCCGAAAACATGCTTCTGTGCGCAGAGTAACATGAAGGTTCACGAGACAGAAACGGGGTGGTCAAAGAAGGGTGGACGCCGGAGTTCGACTCGACCTTGAAAAAATAAATGTGGTGTACAGGGTGTAGGGGGAAGGTTTCGTTTGCGCTTCTGCAAAGAGAATTGGCACAAGTGCCAACGAGGAAAAGAAGGCACGAGCAACCGATTTTCTTCCACAGCGGTGTTGATATTGTTACAGCCCCCCAGAGGTGAAAGGGTAGGTCAATAATTGCATGAGACCGATAGGGTTGCCTTGTAGATACGGTAGGCCGGATGCAACAGCTGAAAGGGGTTGCTACACTTTGCTTGGCGGTACATTACGAGTGTGTGTTCGTCCCGCCTATTCTGGCGCCGGTTTACAGGCCTTTCGGCGTATATATACCTGACATATCTACCGGGGTCATACAAGAAGGAAGTCACACAGGAGCTTTTGTTGCTGTTTGTATTATTGTCCCACCCCTCCCCCTGCGGTGCTTCCATTGGTTATTATCGCGAAAAGGGTTCAGCCATCCCTTTCCCTCGTCGACCGTGAAGCCGAAGTACGTTCACTCACGACCTAGATTGTTTTCAACCACGCGTTTCTTGAAATAATCCCCGAGGAAAAATAAACGCGCGGAGACAATTGAATCCGCAACTTGTCGCTAGGAAATCGTGCAGATTAACCATATAGACGACCACTAGAAGACCAGAGTGCGGGCGTAAAGTCGCGAGAAAAAAATCAGAGCAAACATAAATGACACCCAGAGCTGTATGCGCCGGAAGTTCGCACCTCGTCTTCCGAGCCAGAATCCCACCACGCATGTCCATTGGCCGATGCCTCGTCCCACGAGTCGTTTTCCTCATCATTGTTATCATCAGACAAATTACTGTCCTGGGGCACGGGGAGAAGCTTCGACGCCCGACCTCTCGGAACGGGCTCGGGGCTGTGCACAATCTTGACCTTCGGCACGAAAGCGACACGTGCGTACGCGATGGTTAGCCTTGGCCGTTGCCTGAAGGAATAGGTTGTGATTTTCCGAACGATCTTTTCCTACCCCTGAGGGGTGGAATATGTTAGTCCGTGCCATGGAAATTGAAACCGTCTGCGTAGTCCACATGTGTTTGCCGTGCCTTGATATTTTGCTGTTCTACGACGGTCACTTTTCTCCAAACCTGTAGCAGTAGTACAACATGAATCACCTAGAATAGCTGACCCATGAGAAGGCACTCCGCGTTATATTTTTGGAGAGTCTCCATTCACATTCGATGACCCTGCTTGTCGGTGTACAGCTATGGAAAAAGCTCGATACCAACCAGGGGCCGATCACGCCGTAGCCGACAGTGCCCCGCCGGAGCAGCCTTGTTGTTGTTGTTGTTGTCTTCACATTACCAACCTGGAAATAATTGATATCAATGCGGGCCTAATGCGCCTAAACGTTTCAGATGCCTGGCTTCTAGTGCTCCGCACCTTTGGAACTGACCTTCCAAACTGGAGCTTCCTGCGCTGTAGCAGCGGCGGCTGCGGCGCCTTGGTCGAAGCCACCAACAAGTTTGGACACTTGCGCTAAACCACTACCGCACGGCGCCTTGCCACTTCCTAGTACAACTGCAGCTGAGTTTGCGATGATGGTGGTACTGTTCTCCAGGCCGGGCTCTGGGGGTGGCGCCCATGTCGAAACGGTGGCAGACACTTCTGCTTCTTTGGCGGCAATGACTCTCTCGCTGTGAGTAACGGTATTCAAAACGACAAGAACTATAAAAATGACAAGTGAATATTTTATCGTAGAAGCCGTCCAAACTTGGCATCTTCCTTTCGTTGTTCAGCCAAAATTTCTTGACTGACTTTGGAAAATATATGACTAGCGCATATTTGAGTCAAATTGCTACCAGTGCCAGAATCATAAAAAACGGGAGTCCACCTATGGCGACAACCTACTGTTAAGTGGGAACACGAAGCCGGGCTAGACCGCGCGAGCTACGTCACGTGCGGTAGTCTGCTGGACGATGCAACCTGGAAAGTACTTTGTGTGTGCACATTGGTGGGTATCGGTAACCGAAGTGGATTGAAGAAAAAGATGTAGCTTGCAGACACAAGGTTTTCACCTGGCGCCAAGCATGCGCAGGAGCTCGGGATTGGCGTTCAAGCTCGCATAGTCCACCTCGTAGTCATCGCCCTCCTCATCGCTGTCGTCTGTAATTGTGTGTAGTATTGTGCAGCAAATATATGCAAACACGTCCATCAGGATGTATTTTAACTGGCTTCCGTTCGCCTTCTAGCTTTGCATACCATTGGCGTCTTTTTTTAGTGTTGGCCTATTCGATCTTCACATGTATGCATCGAAAATTGCACCACCTGAATAGGAAATTATTGATACCGCAGTATGAGATAGAGCTCATATCCAGGTGCTGTCACATGTCTGCTGAATGAATGGATTTGTGTACCAGCAACTCTGTTCAAGAGGTTGATGCTCGTGGAACGGCCAATATTGTTCCGGCGGTAGTGAGCCAAAAATCGGACAAGTTGCGGACTGCTTCCACGGAAGCAAGCGTCAATTTAATCAATCTCGAGTTCAAAATCGCACCGCGTATATTTATATGTGGTGCATTGTGTAGCACAAGACATGAGTGTGCTACGGCACACGTTTCCACCGAAGAACCATCGCGCAAGGCGGGAACCCTCGCACGACAATGACAAGGAAACTCTTAGATAACGCCAGGTTGGCGGCTTGATCTAAACCTTGCTACCACTGCTGTAGTCTGGTGAAGCACTGCCACCGTCGTCGGAAAAGCGCATGGTAGCGTACTTCGAGAAGGTTAACGTTTATTAAGGTGTACCGGTAGACTTTGAAAGATTCAAGCAACAGATTCGGACGAACTCGTCCTACTTACAGTTAGTTGTACCTGACCTGTATCCAGGGCCGTTTTTTCGTTTCTGTTAAAATATGTTCAAGAGAGAAATGTATGTCACGCCTCGAGTGGTTGTGGGACCGACTCCCCGTAGAATATCAATCAAGCCAAGAGCACGGACAGAAATTGATACCCAGGGTTTTGGGCTTTCTTTGTCATCCCCTCTCCACTTTGGACTTATCCAATGGACCTCAAGTTCTTTCACCACCACGTCCTCCTCACACAGACAGATCGACCTTGTATTTTTCCACCAATCAATCAACAACGTGAACGCGCGCCCCTGCAGAGAGGTGTAGCAGAAACGCTAGAACGATCTCCTCTCCGCCGTGAGTCGTGATTGCGTGTCTACATGTAGACTATTACGACAGCATACGGCGATTAGCTCAACCGGGGCAACACGTACGTATGTGTGCACTTAATTCTTCAACTCTTCCCCTGTATCAAGTTTTTAAACGTGGTTGCCACGGCTGTTGTTGTACTCGACACGGGGACTCAGCACAACAGCTCGTTGTTGTTGTTGTTGTTGTCTTCACATTAAAAACCATCCCGGTCTCTCTATCCAGTACCTCCTTCTGTCTCAATCTCTCCGTACTAATCCATCACTTGACTCGGCCAATTTCCGTGGTCACAGGCTAACGTACCTAGAAAAGGTATACCAAAATAAAATGGACCCCAAGGGTCAGCAGAGCGATAAAATACAAGAAAACAAAATATAATCAGAAACAAATAAAATAAAATAAAAAAAATAATTAGACTAGTGGAACGGCCGCACCACCAGCCTGGGGGGGTAGCCTCCCACTACATGGAGGCAGGTCGACGGCCAAAGGAAGGGGCGGGGGTACGTGCCAGTAAAAAACAAAACAAAAGACAAAATAAAACAGAATAAAGCAAAGACGAGGACACAAACAAACTCGCACAGAGACAGGGATATCCCTAGAGACAGTCTGAACGCGACAGCAAACGGGGGAGAGGGCTCGTTGGTGTTGTGCAATCCGCTCTGTTTTGTACGAGCCATTGAAAACGTGTAGCATCGTTGATTGATTTTCGCCTCACTTGATGTAGCCGTAGGAACGGACGTAGATTCTTCGATGCTCAATTTCAGCAGAGGATCCATGAAATCTGATGTAGTCTACGTACTACTTCTCCTGTCTACGCAGACGGGTCACGCCATTTTCACGTATGTCTGATCTGCTCAACCTGTTGAATTGCGCGACAGAGAGTGGGGGATGCGGCACGTCCTGCCCAGGTGTTGCCGAGTCGGGAAGCACGCGCCAGGGGCGGGCAGAAGACAGGGCAACTTCAACCAACCCTGCTCCTGTGTGTGCGCGCGCCGCTGTTGTACAAAACCCGAGTACAGTAGAAGTATTAGTCTAGACTGCGGCGCGGGTCCACAACGAACAAAAGTTCCGTTGATACGGAAAAAAATGCCCCCAAAAATATGTTGGCGCAAAACAGGAATAATGAAGATAGACTGAGATTCACAGCTCTCGGCCACGACACAAGAACGTCCCAAAAAAGGAAACAGATCTTGCGATACCCCCTACACATAAGAAGCTGGGGAAGCGTGTCCAATAACAAATGTCCCACTTCTTCCTTCTCCATGTTGCTCCCACCCCCTAGCTTTAGGGCAATTGTTGGTCTAGGGCAGGACAGCAGCAGTGATTATTTTGCAGTGCCCCCAAGCGCCCCAGCGCCGGCTGCACTACTCAATTATATTATAACGCCACACGTCACGGATCGCATCATGCTGTCTGCTCAACGGGATTGATAGCACTCTCCGCTGCCTTTCTTGAGGGCTTGAACAAGTTGGTTTCGGAGATCAATTGAGCTGTGTCTAAAGTCTAGAGTCTAGACTATAATACCACAACTTTACTGTATGCGACCGTCCAAAAAGATGCGAAACTCGAAATGGATTATGTTTGTGGTACTTGGATATGAGTCCGATCCGTGCATCCTCTGTGGGGGATACGCGTATGGGAGTATGGGTGTGATGGGTATGTATGCGGTTGGGGTCCAAGTACGGTCCCTCCGGGTGAGCACACGGCGGTGTGCTCCCGGCACTTGCCTGAGGGGCTTGCGTGTTGGTTACCAGCTTGCCTGAGGGGCTTGCGTGACGGATATACATACATAATTTTCATCTGCTGTTCCTGGGATAACATAGCACCCAGTCTCAACACCACAGACCGCTCAGGGCGGACAGACCGCTCAGGGCGGCAGTGCACACTAACACGATATCGAGAGTGGAGTCTAGCTAGGCCAGGTGTTGGTTCAGCGATGACGAACGCACGAGAGAAAGAATTAAAGAAGAAATGGAGAAGATGAAGCAGGAAGCCGAAAGTGCAGCCGAAAGTGCAGCAGGGGAAGCGGCAGCCGCGGCAGCCAAGATGGCGGATCTTCAAAGGAGAGTTGAGGAGGCAAAGGAGAGGAGTTCAGCGGAGGACGCTACTAGAGATAGGGTGGGTGATGCCGGGTATGCGGCAGGTAACATGAGGAAAAGCGGCGCTGGCTATGCGCCTGGGTACCATAGGAGGGATGGAGCTGCCGGAAGGGCGGCTACTTTTGGAGCCGGGGGGACGGCTAGTTTTTTCTATGTTGTCCCAGGAACAACAGCAGATGAAAAAGGACCATGTATTAGACTATATATATCCGTCACGCAAGCCCCTCAGGCAAGTGCCGGGAGCACACCGCCGTGTGCTCACCCGGGGGGACCGTACTTGGACCCCAACCGCATACATACCCATCACACCCATACTCCCACACGCGTATCCCCCATAGAGGATGCACGGATCAGACTCATATCCAAGTACCACAAACAGCCCCCCTACTTGATACGATGTACGATCTTGCAACCCTTCACGCGCAATCAGCCAACACAGAAAAACACCCCTTGAGAAAACTTACTCAACAAAACTGGCAACACATTCAACACAATGTCACGGTAGCATGAACGGACGCTAAATACTGAGATTCATTCCATTTCACGATGGTTTGAGGAGGGCTAGGGTATACCCCAGGGTGTACCTGAATCATTGGCGGAGCCCCTCTAGAGCTCTGTCCTAACTCGTGTTTTGGGTGATNAACACATTCAACACAATGTCACGGTAGCATGAACGGACGCTAAATACTGAGATTCATTCCATTTCACGA